TGGTTGCTATTGTTCTCAAAATACTGACGGTAATGCGCATGAAAGGCCCGAGTACGAGTGCAACCCTGTTTTTGATTGTCAAATAAGGTCTATTGTGGACAACATGTTTAAACAGCATTATAGGGACCATAGGGTTTTTCTTCTGGAGAAGATCATTAATGATGCGTGTGATTCTAAACATGTATGTAAAGGAGATGGCAAACGTATGAAAAATCTCAAGAGAAATGGACGTTGTGAGTGGGACCTTAAACTCATGGGCCGATACGATAAATCATTTGACACACCTGTGTTTTCATAGCAATGGTGCTGTCTGTGCAACCAATACAAAAATTCTGGAGGAGCTGACTGAATTGAGTGATGAGATGGGGGGGGGGGTAAGGCAGGTTCTATGTATGTCAACATATATAGCAGATATTTGTGTGTCACTGGTTTCAGAAAACAAAATAACAAATATTACTGAGCCTGTGTAAGTTATGACCAGCCACATACTAGAACATGACAGAATGCTTTTAGCAGCATTTCTTTGTTGTTTGGTAATATTCAGTAATGTCTTTATTGTTTTGGTGGTGTACCCTGTTTTTTTCTTCAATGTATGACAGTATATATGTATTTTTTTCTCTTAGTTAATTTGTCTTTATTATGGTAATGCAATCCATGTTTGTTCATTATGTACTACTCTATTTCAGTGTATATTTACTTGAAATAAAAGTTTATCAACTCAAGTGTCTATGCCTTTCCTGTAAAAAAGTTAAAAATTGAGCTAGGTGGAAAACATGATGGTGTGAAACAAATCATAGAAACATTGTCGAAACTGATTAAAGCCCTGTATTTATGGCAAATGTATATTTAAATATTTAGAAAATTAGAATGTTGCATAGTGTGTCAAGGATTGGTTACTTGTCTAAAGCATAAAGGTATAAACTGTAGATCATTTATTAAAGTTGGTTAACGTTTAAAACAAGCCAATAACACACAGTTCTCATGTGTAACGGGTTTGTAGTCAGTTTAGAAAGACAACCTTAAAATTTTCGCCCAATTTAGTTTTAAAGATGCACTGACGTACAATTTCATAATTTCTCTTTCATTTGAAAAAGAGAATGAACAAAAGGTATACATGATATTGTTGGTTGTGTCTGGTTTAAAACCAAAAAATTTACATCTCAAACTTTCATGTCAGTTCAAAAGAAAACATTTCTAATACACAGTACATTAGACACTGTTGCAAAAAGATATTAATGCAGTTTGAGTGGCAAATATTCATTTAGTTTTGTAGACAGATCGCACTATTGACAGATCACAGTATTATGTTTTTCTCTTCTTTTTCATTCTTTTATAACTTGTTTTAACACATTTGATCTGTTTTTATCATTTTAAATATTTTTTATTATTGTTTTTATCTTTCTTAAACATGTCTCTTTTATTCCTGTTTATATAAAGCACTTTGAATTGACATTATGTATGAAATGTACTATATAAATAAACTTGCCTTGCCTTGCCTTGCCTTTGTAGAGTCATACTTCTTGTGAAAAATAAATATATACTGTGAAGAATGAGAGAACTAAAGAAAATTGGCAGTAGAAATGGATATTGTGCCTTTTACTGTATGCATCGTGACAGATGCTATGAGAGTTGTGTAAAATTAGACTTTTAACACATATGCAAAAAAAGTTTGCAAAGACATTGAGTTAAAAACTACAGCACTGGTTACTTGAATTAGGTCATTTAATTTGGTATGATGACAGTGGTGGTAAAAACATAATTTAATGTTTCAAAAACATTCTGCATTAGAAGGTTGAAAAATAAACTTATTTATGGATTAAAGTTTACTGCAAAGTATTCTTAAAATAAAAAAGTGTTTACTCTTTGTTATTATTGTGCTTTGCTGACAGTATTGAGTGTAGCATTCAACTAGAATACAAATAATTGTGGCTAAGTGTTGTTATTAATGTTTGGGACACTTTAGAGGTTAAAAAATATTCTTAAATCATGAGTTGAGCCCCAGCCGTCTGGATGAAACCCCAAATTCTAACCTTTACACCATATTGTTGTAACCAATGTACTTCAAAACATCACTTTTTTTCTTTCCCCCAAATGAAACATCGTTGTTCCTAAAAACTCCTGAAGAAAGGGGACAACGTTAAGTAACTTTTGAAAACTGACAGTTTTAAAAAACATGTATGCTATGTTACATACAAACAGTTGTGCAAAATTACAGATTTTTAACACATGCATAAAACATTTTGTGTTGAAAAACTGCAATAGAGTGCAAAATCAAAAGCTTGAATTAGGTCAATGCTATTGGTTTGTAAAAATAAAACTCCAGTCATGCAGTAAGTTTAATGAATAGTATTTTAAACATCACTTTTCCAAGTAAAAATGCACAGATAATGTTTTTATATTCAGAGTGAAAAACATTATGCTAGATTTTAGTTTGAAAATTTGAAAATGTGTTTGCCAATAAAAAAACATAGTTTAAAGAAGTATATACACTCCCAACAAATTGTGTGTAGTAACAATAATCTTGATTAAATCTATTGGTAGAAGAAAAGCATTATTTACCCTGTAAAAAAGTAATCAGTCTACTTTCAAGAACTACTTGTAAACTGGACTAATTTTGACAAATTTGTAGACTTACTAGATTTGACACTGTTGTATGAACATATAAATGGTGGAATCAGTAGTTAAACTAGAAAATTTTACTATAAAACATTAAGTAGATTTAACTAAGGACTGGAGCTGTACTGTTTTTAGATAAACTGAGAGCCAATTTTTCTTCTTAAAATAATTATCAGCGTTTACCCATTATTCTGAATAATATACATATTTCTCTTTATATGATCAAGTATTTGCAATGAAATACAAACAGTTTAAATTTAAAATTCAGTAACTAAGTTGTCTAGTAATGCAATTACTACAATTTATTGTAATAAAATTACATTTTATTTATCTTTTGAAACAGAAATAACAATAATGTCTGATAAGACTGATAAGTCCTTTTTAGTAAATATTTTATGTTGATTTTTTAAACCAACACCAGTGATGACCAGTGCTCAAAACATTAGGCTTTGGATTAACTGTATTACAATGTGTGCCATAAATTACAGGTCATGCATGTAAATAAATTGAAAACATGTTACTCAAAGGAAAAACTTTCATTTTAAATTGTTTTTCATAATAAAAGTTTTCATTAATTATAAAGACAACTTGAATTTACATCTGTGTTTTTCAACATTTTAGAATATTACATTTTAGATAACGTTGTTTTAAAAGGTGTGACAATTTATTGTCAATAAAGATTAAGATTTGTTATTTACTGGATTAATATTGTAAACATTTTCCCAGAGATTGGTTGCGGCTGGAAGGGGCTCAGCTGCGTAAAAACTTGCTGGATAAGTTGATGGCTCATTCCGCTGTGGCGACCGCGGATTAATAAAGGTGCTAAGGCGACAAGAAATATTGTAAATATATTTAAATTTAATAGTCAGACAAAGATACATTAAAAAGTTTGTGTGTCTTTAAATATGTATTAATGTAGTAATAATGTAAAAAACAACATAACCTATTAATGAACATATTTAGTAAATACTGTGTCATGTATTCAAACATACAAGGCCAGACCCAAGTTCGCTCGAGCGCATGCACACGTACACACACACACACACACACACACAAACACACACAGACACACAGACACACACACACACACACACACACACACACACACACACACACACACACACACACACACACACACACACACACACACACACACACACACACACACACACACACACACACACATACATATGCATACAGTTGACTGCATGTGGATATATAGATATCAGCACACTTTCTAATCACCTAACAACATATAGTATTTAGTGGGAGACACCCACCACATACAATCAGATATACATATTCTACATCTGATATAAATCTATCTTTCACAAGCAGTTGACAGGATGTTATCCACAGTTTTCCTTATCATCACTCACACGCTCAGGCCCAGACTGACACACAGAGGAAACATCGGTATGAACATAAAGAAATGTTTATTTTAATAGTTTATTAATTATAATATAATATAATATGATATAATATAATAATGTAATGATATAGTATAATAGAATAATCATGATATATAATATAAGTTAATTAAATTTAATATAAATATCAATATTATAATAATATAATATAATAATATAATATAATATAATTATAATATAAGTTAATAAAATAATGATTTAATATAACTTAATATGATATAAAATATAATATAATAATATTATATAATATAATTATAATATAAGTTAATAAAATAATAATTTAATATAACTTAATATGATATAATATAATATAATACAATACATAATTTTATTTAATAAAATATAAATTTTATATAACTTAATATAATATAATATAATATATTGTAATGTAATAATATCATTTAGTCAAATAACTAAAAATATAAAATAATGGTTCTAATAACAGTAATTGAATTACCGATATTATTATAATATTAATTTTATTTCTGTTTGTTTAAAATCTAATTACCGGAAATAACCTATTAATTTAATTAGTCTGATAAAAATCTAATTAACGGAATCAATAATTTAATTAGTCTGATAAAAATCTAATTAACGGAATCAATAATTTAATTAGTCTGATAAAAATCTAATTACCGGAATTATTATTTTATATAAAACCGATAAGAATCTAATTACCGGAACTATAAAGTTTATATAAAAGGGGCGGGGCTTAGACCGGAAGTCCCGCCTTAGTGGGCGGGGCTACAATCCATCAAACTTTTTGACAGGTAGTTATTAAACCGATAAGAATCTAATTACGGAACTATAAAGTTTATATAAAAGGGGCGGGGCTTAGACCGGAAGTCCCGCCTTAGGGGCGGGGCTACAATCCATCAAACTTTTTGACAGGTAGTGTCCCATAAGTACTACTCACCTTTTATTTCACATTTGACTGTAGAATCACACACTAACCAAAGGAGTCTTGAGCTGCTCGGTGCTTATGGTGGCCTTTGTTACATAAACAGCCATAAACACCATTTTTCATCCCACACCTTTCCTCTTTGGAGCAGTTGAGTTCAGAACAGGGGTTTCTGTCATCTAGAAGGAAAATATTATTATATCCATTATTACAAGTTTTTCTAGCTGACCATTGGGCCACAAAAATAAAATCCACACCTTAATATTTAGTAAATGTAATGTAATAAATAGCACTTTTGTAAAGCTGTTTGGAACTAACTGTGAAAAGCGCAATACATATACACTTGACATAAATTTAGTTAAACCATCTTGTTTTTTTACTGTACTTTTACTACGTTTAAATGCATTCTAAGCACCTCACATATAAAAGTATTAGCAAATCAGCTCCATAGCACAATGTTTAACTAAAATTAAACACAAACTTGCAGTCTGTTTCCTATACCTAGTGCAACAGCTTACATTTTACAAGTTACTACTAAGCACATAAACATACACACATCACCTCTTTTTTATTACTAATGTAATCATTTGAAAAATAGCAACAAATTCTGACACTCAAAGCACTTTAATCTGAACAATAATCCTGTAGATTGTGATACAGCACATTACATTACCAGATATTGTAGTTGTAGTTTCTGTTGTGGTCGTCTCTGGCGTGTCAGTTGTATAGCTAGTGTTAAACCTCACATCTAGAAACACAAATAAATGTCAGACAGAAAGCCATCATCTCTAACATAAACAGAAGGCAGAGTTAAATGTGTGTCCAGTACCTGCACAGTATGCTAAATTGCAGGTGGTCGGCCTCACAAACTCATAGACATAAAAACCTCCAGGACAGGCTTTGACTTGAATGGGATTGGACTGGAAATAGCAGCAGTTGTTGCCCCAGTGTCCGCAGACATCTCTAGTGACTACTCCATCCTCAAGTGTTGGATGTCCTCCGCTCAGCCACAGTGGAGCATGAGTGCCGCAGCTATTCTCATCAACACATGTGTCTGGCATCTGAACACTCTGACCATTAATGAAGAGACGGTACCAGCCGCTCCAGCTCACCGCACTGTCACACATTAACTGAGAGGAGTTTTGATTGCTGGTGGCTCTCCATGGCTCATCCAGGATGATGTAGTTATTGCAGGGGTCAACAGGGGGATCTGTTGGAAGCAAATTTATTATTAGTTATGGTAGTTTTCCTGTTTATAATCTCATGATGGAGCACTAAATAAGCAGCATTAAACTTCATTCTCACTGATTTGGACAGCAGACTGATTACACTGTAGAGTTGACAGAGCGATGTCATTAAAGGGTCGTGCAGTCTTATATTTGAACAGATTTGTTTTTGTTGAACATCAGTTAAGGCGATGTTAGCATCTGTTAGCTTTAGTTGTTAGTGAACAAATGGCTAATATCTCTTTTTATTTCATCATTATATCTGGGCAGCATTATTGGTGGTGATGTAGCAAAGGACTGCAGCTTTTTAATGAAGCTGCTTCTGAATTATTTAATGAAGCTGTGAGACCTTGCAGTAGTTAGTCTTTCATGATGGGTCATAGTCATGGCAGTGTTGTCAACTTCTACGAGTCTGTATTGACATATTAAAAAGGGACGATAGGAAGATTTTCCGCATTTAAAGCCTTGCCAGGTAGACTCTTAAACACTGCTGATTGATTACGAGCTCAACAGATATGACTGTAATTGACTCTATTGACCAACAATTTACAAGAGCATTTACACAGACACTGGAATGTTGTAAAGCTATAATCAGCTGATTCGTAATTGAAACGGCATTTGAAACATTGACGGATATGACCTTTCAAATCATGTGCGTGTGTCTAAATTTAAAAATAAGCACTCTTTAAATATTAAAATCTTACATTTCTTTAAATGTTGCTTGTAAATTTTGGTCATCAGTATAGGCCACTGACAGATGACGGTTGACGGCTCTCCTACATTCTGTTCACAGATTTTCATGTTCATTTGAATTGCATGGTTTGTTTGGGGTTTTTTTTATTCTAGACTTGAACCGAAAGAGGAGGGTTTCATGACCCTTTAAGTAAATTGTAATAATTTAATGTATACGTTTTCAAACTATAATAATATTATAATATTTATTGCATTCCCTGCTGAAAAAAACAGCTTAAACCAGCCTAGGCTGTTTGGCTGGTTTTAGCTGGTCGACCAGGCTGGTTTTAGAGGGGTTTAGGCCATTTCCAGCCTAGTCCTAGCTGGTCAGGCTGGGAGATGACTAGCTAAAACCAGCTTGACCAGCTTAGGCAGGCTGGGAGCCCAGCCAAAACCAGCTATGTCCAGCTTAAACCAGGCGGGTCAAGCTGGTTTTAGCTGGATTTAGCTGGTCATTTTCCAGCCTGACCAGCTAAGACCAGGCTGGAAATGGCTGGAAACCAGCCTGGAAATGGCCAAAACCCCTCTAAAACCAGCCAACCAGCCTAGGCTGGTTTAAGATGGATTTTTCAGCAGGGTTGTACTCATTCTGTGAGCTGTGGTGCTACATCTTTTAGTATTTTCTGGAGAATTTAATAATTGCTATGACTTGTTCTACACAAGGGCGTTAGAGTAGCGCAGTTTGCATGTTCTCCCCGTGTTGGCGTGGGTTTTCTTCAGCCTGATCTCACGAGAAAACGTAAGTATTTTACGTTTTGCCAGTTTAGGGGCAAATCCGTCTGAATTCGTATGAGTTCAGTCGTATGAAATTGTACGATTTTAAAAAGGAGGCGTGGCACCTAACCCCACCCCTAAACCCAACCGTCATTGGGGGGTGAGCAAATCGTACTAAATTGTATGAATTAGATCGTACACATTTATACGAATTAGCCACTAAATGAAAAAGTTACAAATTGCCGTGAGATTGTGTTGGTCTCTCCGGGTGCTCCGCTTTCCCCCACAGTGCAAGCACATGCGCTATAGGGAAACTGATTAACTAAATTGGCTGTAGTGTATGTATGTGAATGTAAGAGTGTATGGATGTTTCCCAGTATTGGGTTGCGACTGGAAGGGCGTCCGTTACGTAAAACATATGCTGGATAAGTTGGCGGTTCAACAATACAGATTTCTTGCAGTTCAGTTTTAGGGTCACGGTTTTGGTATGGTTCGTTGGCTATATGATGTTCAGTAAAATAAAATAATAATAATAATAATAATAATAATAATAATAATGATAATGAAAAAGTTTATTCTAAAATGAGCAGTGCTTTTCAGGATTTTCAGGTATCTAATAGAGACATAAGCTTAAAAATTTAATCCAATATCACACTGCAAACTGCATATAATCTTCACTGTATAAATTAAAGGTTAAGAATTTTTGAGCTATGTGACTATTGAGTCAAGAGCGGAGTTTGTGATTTTATTATATTTTGTGGCAAAGACTCTTGAATACACAAGACATGTCACTCATATCTTCTTAAATGGGGAAAAGTGTAACAGTCAATATGGTCAATAAAGCCCCGCCTATAAGTACAGGAGCCAACTACTGATTGCTTTATGGCAAATAAAGCCCGCCTTCTAGTACGGGAGCCAATCATCTATTGCTACAGACTGACTATAATCCAGGGGAGGGGCTTGAACCAGAGGTGAGTTTCTGCACACTTTGGACTTTAAGAAATGAAACTAAAGGGAAAGTTGTTGTTTAAACCTATTGGTGATTCCAAATATGTTATGTAATCATAAGCTTGGCAAGCAGTTTTGGAGAACTTGATGTTTCCAATTTGATGTTGCATACTTCCTGAGAGGCGTTTTAAAGATGGCCGCCGAGTGAAATAACTTGCCTTAAAGGGACTTTGGTTGTGGTTTGTTTCATTTTAAAAACAAACACAGCAGGAATGAGATGTTTTTACTTTAAGACGCAGCACAATGAGAAGGTTAAAAGCAGCACAATTTCCTGAGTGTTTATGTTTTTAGGCTTAACTGATTTAATACTTGGACAGGTGGACATAATTACTGGTCATAAATGAGTCTTATTGAGAAGCTAAACTCAATTTGTGTGGAGTAACTTTCATTCAGATGTTTAGATATGAACACTACTCAGCTCTCCCACGTGACTTGAATGTGTGCTCATGCTCTGGCATGCAGCTCACGTCACTTTCATTTTCGTGTGAAAGTGTCTCCCTACTTTAGTGCTCATTAATGAGACATTTACTCAGGTAAGTCTAGCATCCACAGAGCCAGTTCAGAGACTCTTTAAAGGATTGGGCAAAATGCAAAATAAAATTGTTTAATTTAAAGGCGAGCGAGGCAGTGGCACAGTAGGTAGTGCTGTCGCCTCACACCAAGAAGGTCGCTGGTTCGAACCTCGTCTCAGTTGGTGTTTCTGTGTGGAGTTTGCATGTTCTCCCTGCCTTCGTGTGGGTTTCCTCCGGGTGCTCTGGTTTCCCCCACAGTCCAAAGACATGCGGTACAGGTGAATTGGGTAGGCTAGTGTGTGTGTGTGGATGTTTCCCAGAGATGGGTTGCGGCTGGAAGGGCATCTGCTGCGTAAAAACTTGCTTGATAAGTTGGCGGTTCATTCCGCTGTGGTGACCCCGGATTAATAAAAGGATTAAGCCGACAAGAAAATGAATGAAAGAATAATTTAAAGGCAAAACCACAAAAAAAAAAAAAACTTTCCATATGTATACTGAACCATGGAGGTCATAACAACTATTATTTGGAGTATTGTAGCAATCCATATTCTACACCATTATGTAATAAGAAAGAAAGATTTACCAGTGGTTGGTGGATTAATGAACTCTTCAGATGTGATTGGCTGGGTTGTTGTCACTGCTGTGCTGGACTGGTTTGTAGCTTTTGGTTTAAAGAACAATTTTATGTCATTATAAGATATTTTCAAACAAAATCCAGAAAAATACAAGACTGAAGTGCACATGAATAAATACTCACCAACACAGTAAGCTGAGTGAGTTCTTGGCTGTACAAACTCATACACATAATAATCTCCAGGACAGGCTTTGACTCTTATAGGGTGGGATGTGAAAGTACAGCAGCCATTCCATGCAGAAACACAGACCTGACGGAGGACCACTCCATCTTCCAGCTCTGGGTGAGATCCATTGAGCCACAGTGGATAATAAGTGCCACACATGCCTTCATTTACACATGAATCTGGCATCTGAGCACTCTGACTGTTGTAGAACAGCCTGTACCAGCCATTCCATGCTACACTCCAATCAAAATGATTGCCATAGTAGTTAGCAGGGTTATCAGTGGATCTCCAAGGTTCATCCAGACTGGTATAGTTGTAGCAGGGGTCGACACTTGGGGTGGTGAAAGACACTATTATAGAAAAAGAAAACAAGCAGGAAATACTGAAGATTGCATTTGTAAATAAAAATAATGGATAAAGTTTATAAGGTCTGTATAGTCCAAACAATACTCTGACAAAGTATGTCAGACACTGCGTAAAGAAAAATATACCTGCACAGTATCTTGGAGCTTGGATTGAAATAGGAGGCCTGGTAAACTTGTACACATAATAATATCCAGGACAAGCTTTGACTTGGATTGGGTTGGATCTGTAGCGACTGCACAGATTATCACGGGAGCCGTAAACTTCACGAGTAACAACTCCATCTTCTAGTCGAGGATGAGATCCATGAAGCCACAGAGCAGTAACACCTCCACATGTCATATAAGAGGCACACCAGTCCGGCATCTGAGCACTCAATCCATTCATGAAGAGTCTGTACCAGCCGTCCCATTCATAATTGTTATCATATCCATTTACATCGTTATACACAGGCCAGTAAGTATATGTGCTCCTCCAGTCGTTGTCAAGCGTGTTGTAGTTATTGCACGGGTCATAATCTGTGTTAGTGAGAGATCATCAGATCAAACCTGGGGCTTTTATTTACATAATTGTGTGTGTGTGTGTGTGTGTGTACACTACTTACTGGAGGTGATAGTAGATCCAGGTATTATATCAGGACTTGCAGTGGAAACCACCTGTGAAATAGTGCTGACATCTGATTTAATAAAAAAATTAACAAATAATTGTTACTGTTAATATATAATCATTACTAAAATCATTATAAATGCTTGAAGGACTTGTGGAAGAAAGAACAGTACCTATGCAGTATCCTGAACACCCCATTTGTGGACGCACAAGTTCATAGACATAATAATTTCCTGGACACGCTTTCACTCTGATGGGGATTGACTTGCTATCACAGCAGCCGCTCCAGTAAGAACTACCACAGACCTCTCTGGTCACCACACCATCCTCTATCTGAGGGTGAGGACCATCGAGTACCAGATTTGTGTATGTGTTACAGTTTAATCCAGTAGTACAGGTCTCTGGCATCCGGATGTCCATTCCAAAGTAGAAAAGCCTGTACCAGCCCCTCCAGGTGAAAGAATCATCACACAGGGAATCTCCACTTTCATTGTTGGCTCTCCAGGGGCGATCCAGAGACTCATAGTTGTAGCAGGGGTCACTACTGATGCTTGGGATAACAACTGTCATGGAGTTTTAAAAAGTAATGATTAAATACTGTACACACATGGACGACAGTAGACTCAAAACACAATAATGTGTATTTTTTATTATGTTGAGTAGTTAAATTGTAATCAGTGGTGGCAAAAGGGGGCAAGTATAAGTTTGCAAATTCACATCAAAGCCTAATAAAATGAAGTAACATCTCTCGATAAAATAAATTACAGTAAGTGCTCTCCATCATCAAGCATGTTAAGGTAAACAATTCATTTTAAATCCAAAAGCACTGTGTGATGATAATTCAGCATGGTCATATACAGACAGTGTGCATAAACTGTTAAAAGGTTTAAAATTGTGAGCGTTAAGTAAATGCTGTATAGGTCTGTGGGGACCTCTGCTGAATTATTAATGGTTTACAGACAGCAGCTTAAATATTCCTATAATCAGCTTAATAAAAAATCATTCATCAAAAGTTTTGAAAGTTGAGAAGTGCACCTGCACAGTATGAAGGTTTGGGGATCGACAGATCTGGCTTGACGAGTTCATAGACGTAATAATCTCCTGGACAGGCTTTGACTCGGATGGATGAGGATCTGTATTTTCCACACTGATTGGACCACATATTCCTTCCCACAACATCACGGGTTACCACTCCATCCTCAAGTGTTGGATGAGAACCGTTGAGATACAGTCCAGTGTAACCACCACAGCCCATTGAACTCATACACCACTCAGACATCTGGGCACTTTGTCCAGTCAGATACAGCCGATACCAGCCGTTCCATTCAACCATGGTGTCATCATGGTCAAGGTAGTGTCTTATTCTTATGTTTCGCCAGTATTCATCCAGAGTGTTATATTGATGACATGGATCAAAGCTGGAAGTAGTATGCACTGAGACAATCAAGAGAAAAAAGGTAGATGTTAAACACCTCTGTATGATAGAGTGTGATGTACTGTACAGTCTGCAGTGGTGTAAAGTAATAAGTTGCAAATACTGTATCCATAAATGACAACACTTCCATATCTCAGCAGGGTCCGTCATGTTTTTGGATCCCCTAAAAACATTTCCGTTGTGTTACGTGCATATTTGCAAGTGTTGTGACCAATTTGCTGTGAGTTTCTTCAGTTGTTTGCTGTCAAATTGATGAAGATTGTTTCTTTATTTGCTGGTGTTTTTTGTAATTGCATGTGCTTTCTTAAATTGCAGCGCGGGTTAAGCTCTCTCAGCCATCGTAAATAAGACATTGTTAGATTAGATTAGATTAGATTATTAGATTCAACTTTATCGTCATTGTAGCGCAGTGTTTGTTTTGTCCACAAGATATCGCTGTGACACTGTTTCATTTAGGTATTTTGACGTTTTTTGTGTTGTTTGAGCCTCTTGGAATACCGTAGTGTTGATAAATGCGCAGTGCGCTGTAATTTCCTCAGTTTGTGTTATCAACACTGATAGGTGCCCTTCTGACAAATAAATGGTCGAGTCACGATCGCGAACCTCTCTTTGCCTGCATCTCCTGTTTACCACCCCACAACCAATACAACACAACGCAGAGTAGCAGCGGTGGTGCTAGAGGCCAGCAAGCATGCAGAGAGCGAGTGGGTTACATCATTACACATGTACAAGTACAATGCAACGAAATGCAGTTAGGTCTAACCAGCAGTGCAACAGCAGCAAGTGCAGGATACAGGTATCAGTTATAAAGTGCAGTTATAGAAAAACTATGGTGATATTTACAGATGGATGTACTATCAACATTATATACAGGTTGTATTGGCTATGAACAGGTTTACACAACCCGGGCTCATTGTGGAAACGTAGCCCCGCGGACGTTTCTGCGAACCGCGATTTACGTCCCGGGAGGTACGTATTTGAGCGTTTTTTTGTTTTCGCGGATCCGCGAGAGGCAGCTGTGCGCGCTTTTTCGTGTCTCGGGCGGGCGCCTCTCAGGAGCGCACGGCGTTCGCGCCCGCGCCGTTCTCGCGTGAAAAGCCGCCGGATCGGGAAAAAAAAAAAAAGCAAAAGCCCTCGTCTTCGATTTCGACCGCGTTTTCAGATCCCGCCACGTTCTCGCCCTTATTTTTCGGATTCCGTTTTACGTCTCACCTGATTTCCGGAACCTGCTGTTCCCCGGACTCGATCCCGGTCGTCGTCCACCATGGCCGGCCCCGGCTCCTCCTCCTCCTCGTCCGGGGCCTCCGCTCCGCCGACGCAACGCTGTGAGCTAGGCGGACAAACTGATAGCGTCGGGAAAGCCCTCCACTTGGAGGTGAGCCGTCGGCCGGCGAGCGCGAAGAGTAGGGGCGGATCGGCGCCACACCGCCCCGCGGCGTTCGCTCGAAAAAAAACAAACGCGGCCTTTACATACCTCCGGCCACGTAAATCGCGGTCTCCAGAAACGTCCGTGGGGCTACATTTCCAGAATGAGCTTGGGTTGGATTTACAATATATGAATATATGTACATGTTGCTATTAATAATCAGAATTGTGCAGATAGATAACCATAGTTACAAATGTATATGCGCAGTGGGTGTGTACATAAATACAAATGTCCATGTGCAGTGGGTATGTACTGTTCAAATAAGTGAATCAGTGCAATGTAGTGCAATAAATATGTGCAATTTTTAAATATGCAAATGTTAAACAGTGCAGTAATTGTGAGGAGTATAAGTTAGAGAAGGTTGGGGGATGTATTGGGGGATGTTGGAAACTGGGAACCACTGACATACATAGTAAAAACAAATACAACTGAACTCAAAGGCTGGCAGTTTCCAGCATTCGTTATAGAGTATTTATTTGTGTGTTTAACAGAAGAAAACTCACAGGCTTAGAATGAGTAATTGAGCAGAATGTGCAGCTTTGGGTAAACTTTCCAATGTAAATATTTATTAAGTGAAAAAAATTGCCTTTAAAACCATGTTTTATGTTGATTTGAAAGCATTGTTGCATACACTGCATGCTACTGTAAATAACAATGTCATTTTCTGCCCGTCTACTATCATTATTTCTGGTCTTTTTTTGTCTGTAAAGCAAGTGTTACCGCTGTCAATCATAGATCATTACTGCTGTCAATCATAGATCACGCCATCTGTGACTCCGCCCACTTCACAGGTTGTGAAATTAACTCAATGTTCACACGCATTTATACTTCTGCATTCTTCAGGTTTCAGACAGAACATGTCTTGCATATCTTATGTCTTTAAAGCAGGGGTGGGCAAACTCGGTCCTGGAATGCCGTTGTCCTGCATAGTTTAGCTCCAACTCTAATCAAACACACCTGCTTATAGATTTCTAGTGATCTTGAAGACACTGATTAGCTTGTTCAGGTGTGTTTGATTAGTGTTGGAGCTAAACTATGCAGGACACCGGCCCTCCAGGACTGAGTTCGCCCACCCCTGCTTTAAAGTCTTCAGTAAAAAGTGCAGTTATTTACTAACAGTAAGTACCAGTCATTATATATACATTTTAAAACTACAAAAAAAGCATTATGCTTTATTTTAAATTCTTTGGTTTATATTGCAGCAATGCTTCTGCTGCTAATAAGGCCAACATGCATAACCATTTGAACATTCAAAGTACTGAAAATTGAGATCGACAAAACCACAATGGAAGTCAATGTCAACTGGCTTCCTAGGTCATTCATTCATTCACTTTCATTCAGCTTCATCTCTATTTTCAGAGGTCGCCACAGCAGAATGAACCACCAACTTTTCTACATACCAATGTTTGTTTTTTGCAGTGGATGCCCTTCCAGATGCAACCCAGTACTGGGAAACACCCATACACACATTCACACAGACACACACACACACACACACACACACACTCTACACACTGTCATCCACTACAATTTAGTAAATCAATTCCCCTATAGTGCATGTGTTTGGACTGTGGGAGAAACCGGAGCACCCGGAGGAAACCCATGCCAATATTATTTTATTTTGTTTTCAACAGAAGAAAGGTACAAAACAAGTTTAAAAGTAAAGGATGAGTAAATGATGACAGAATTTAAATTTTTGAGTGAACTATCCCTTAAGGCTAGGGCCAGACGGAATCTGTGGACGTTTTTTGCTATTTCTGCTGATATTTTTGGAAAAGTCTGCGTATTTCTGTGGAATTATTTTGGGAGTATCATAACTTAAACCTTAAAATATTAAATAAAAAATTATATATTTTTGACTTTCATTTAATGTTTAAAATGCAAATCCAATTAGATTTGGTAAATAAAGCAAGTTTGTCATATAATATATCTAGTAAAAGACAGAAAATATTACTGTACAAACTGCAGTGTACATAAATCAGATGAACATTTTCATATTAGTCAATACCATTACTAAAATTAATTTTAAAAAGTGAATAAATATAGATTTACACACATTTACTCAAGTAAAACAACAAAATTAATGATGGACTAAAAATCTGTGGAAATCTGCAGAATTCTGCGCATGCAGATTCCGGGAGGGCCTACTTATGGCCCGTTTCCACTAAGTGGTACTGTTCGGTTCGGTACGCTTTTATGGCCATTTCCACTATCAAAAGGTACCTAAAAGTAAATCGTACAATACCACTTTTTGGTCACCCTTTGCAAAGGATGCCAAGCAGGTTAAAGAATACTAAAAGGCTGAATGCTATTGGTTTACAGAGAAACGTCACTCACAGAAGCAAGCGAAAGAAAACAAAGAAACCACCATTTTAACAAACACATCCGAGATATTAAACCTTAATAATATATACATAATAACGAGCCACGGACGGCCTGAGCTCAAACAACATCTTGATGAACAACCACAAAGCCAAGAAGAATAAAAACTGCCCTGTCCTGTTGTTGTTTTACGAGCCCGTCTAAAAGTGCGAGCGCTTTCACTTTCTCCAGAGAGCTCGCGATCGCGTCTATATTTAAAATAAAGAAATTCTTGAGCTAATATTAATAACGTGCACATGATTATAGAAGTGTTTTCAACACCCGATCCTTTCAGAAACAGACAAAGAGAAGGAGAAGCCGGACAAAACAAACAAGCAAAATGTTTCAGAAACCTGAACACCATGAACAAACTGCCATGAACAAACTACCATGAACAAATGACAAACAAACTGCCATGAACAAACTACCATGAACAAACTACCATGAACAAACTACCATGAACAAACTGCCATGTTTATCAGCGCTTTTTGGACTATTATGAGCTGGGAAGGTCAGAATGACTCTCTAACAGAGTTTACATGTGCTGCTGAAGATTACAGACACAGATGAGAGGTTTTCTCTGACTGTGCGCTATGTTTCGTGTTGTTTTTGAACTCAAATAAGGACTAAATGTCTGCTGTGTGTAGTTTTTCTGTCATTGGTAACATATCAGAGACTGTAAGGCTTTGTATGTGTTCATATAATCATTGATCTGCAGTTATAATCAAATCCTGTTCATAGAAAAGTTAGTAATAAACATTTATAAACAAGTATTTATGTGTGTAAAGCGTCTGTTTTGTGAGAAGTGCTTCTCTTATGATATGTGAACGACCTGTACGGCTTTACTGTTGACATTTATTCGAGCGAGATTGACGTCGACTGAAACTTTCTGTCGTACACCACCCTTGGTACCCTTTAGGCAGTGGAAACGCAAACCTGATAAAGGTGATCAATAGCGTACCGTACTGTACCAGTCAGTGGAAACGGGCCATTAGAGGTAATAATTTTGATCAGATGTGCAGCCTTAAAGTATATCGACCTGATATTAACCAGTGTTTATTACATAAAGTACTCCATCAATTCCTGAATTTCTACTACTTTATATAAAGCAGAGGAAAGGGCAAGGAAGAAGTGAAAGTGGAAAAGTTGTTGTACCTGTTGTTTGACCGCTGCTTATTTCACCTGTGAATTAACCAACATAAGCAGAATTACTTAAAAGTATAAAGAAAAAATTAAATCAGATTAAAAAGGCCTCACTATATAAAAGCCTCACCATGAATCAGGAGCAGCGACACACACAGTGAGATGAAAAACCTCATAGTGATGAATGACACCTGCACACACACACATACTATCAGGTGAAATATTGTTTTACATTGCTTTTGTTATATTTTTGTTTATTATTTGCAAGAACAATTTAAGTTAGTATGTTCACCGATGAACAGTAAAGTCTTTAAAGTGTAGGAATAAGAGAAGTGGCTTTACCTTAGACTAGAGCAGATTCTCTCTTCAGCAGCTTGACACAGAGATGTTGATAATCTGCAAACCTCACGATCATCGTACCTTTGTTAGTACCTGTGGGAGGACCTTTACTGGAACCAGAAGTACTTTTGAAACAATGCAGTAAACCAGTTATTCATATTTCATCTGTGATCAGAATGTTGGTAACTTAAGTAGATTGTGTTATTGTATCTGGCAGCTCTCACGCTGATATTTTTTCACTTGTGCTTGAACAGATGCAATGAAATGGCAACTAGTCGATTTGAGTTGCATGTGTGTAGGAAAAGTGCTATGCAGATAAAATCTTTTATTATTATTATTATTAATTTTATTTGTTGATTGATAGTATCGATATCCCTGTCATTTAGAAGAATGTTCTCTCACAGAGATGTGTATGGAATGGTGAAGAGCCAGTTTGATTTGTTTTAGTTTACCAGAAGTCTTATGCTGCATTCCAGACAACTCAGAATTGGAAGTTTACTTCCTACTTGGAAATACCATCTATAACGCCGCTTGTTGTGAAAACGTGACTGTGATGCGCCATAAACTGGAATGCATGAGGTCGGAAATGGGACATTTCTGTGCTGAATTTCCCACCTCTGACTGTTTATGGAACGCTGCGTTAGATTTAGAGTTTATTAAGATTAATTGCATACACAAAATTTGTGCATAGTAATATGGAATAAAATCGCTGTCATAAATATTTCGTGGGTAAACAAAATTCATGCATTTGTAATTATAAAATTGTACAGGAAACCAGAACGTACTCGTAATTTTACGAAGGTGAAATTCCAACATCTGAGATTAGAACAGACACAGATACAACATATCCTCTGTCTGTGTGTATATTACTGATAAATTGACGATGGGTGTACTTTACAAACACGAAATACAGTTTCACCACAGACACAAAGACCTGATTACAAGTACGAATCAAAAAGCGTCACTCGACTGTCAAAATTACGTCACCGCTGCCACAGGCATTAATAAACAAGCGAGAGCCATCGATCACAACGGTGCGCTTGCTGGGCACTCGAGCCAGGCCCGTGCAGAGACTGTCCAAAGGGCATGTGCAGGATACATTTATTTGAAGAGCGGGGGGTGGGGGTTGTCGCGCGTTCTGATCAGCGGTGTTGTCGAGCGCCTACTGAAGGGCGGTATGTGTCGTGGGGGCACTTTTGATCATTTTGGAAGGGCACTTTTTATCCAAGACTATGTAACCCAGGTAAATTAAACATTACTCTAAGTGTTAAATACTGGATTTTATTTTGTTTTATTTTAAGGATTTTATGTATTTTTTCCGTTTTAAATAAAGTGGTTATTATAGCATATATTATATATTATATATGCTAGATCCTATCATCTAAAAATCGTTGGTCTCAAGACAATCGTTGTTCCTGCTGACTGCGCTGGACGAGTTTGCACCTGTTGTGTCATCTGCTCGAGTCGTCGGCGTCGCCTGGGTCAGCTGGATCAAGCAGAAGGATCGGTTTGATTTGTGAGTACACTGTATTTACTCATCAGATTGAAGGGGCATTTGATTTGTGCCACAACGCTCCCAAGCATCGTCCAGGCCTGCAACGAGGGGGTGTTTGTTTTGTTTATTTACATTTTCCCTTTTTTTCTACACCCATATTGAGTCTGGGCCCAGTGAACAACAATACTCTTAATTGAATGCTGTGTGATATTGAATATAGGGAATTAACCATTTGCCTGTGACTGTTCAGTATTAAGGTCTTTATTGGTGAACATTTAGCACTTTTATAAGTGCAATTAAATGGTTCTTGGTTATTTCTGTTGTAAGGAGAACTTTTATTATTGTTTCAGGACTTAATGCAAAGCTATTTTGTTTATACTCATTTATAACTACTGGGAGTTATTTTGCTATTTATTTTATTTTTATTCCATTTTATTTTTTTTTTCCACATATGTTCAGTTAAACAATATATTACAACTGGCTTAAAGGCGAATTAAATGATCTGTTTTACTAAATTTCATTTTTTGTCATTTGTCTAATTGCAAGTTTATACAGTTATTTTGGGAACCCAGAGCCCTCTTCTTGTGTCCAGTGAAGAGAGTGCTACAACTAAATGTGCACTGCACAGGTTGAGCCATGTGTGCACGTGCCTGACTCGAGCTCCCACACACAAAGATGTTTGTTATTCCCTCTTTGAGAAATATCCGTCATGACCTGTAATAATATATATATATATATATATATATATATATATATATATATATATATATATATATATATATATATATATATATATATATATACTATAAATTCAGATACACTACTCGGCTTGCATACTGCTTTTAGTATACTATATGGAAGTATGCAATTTTGGATGCAGCCTAGTATTCTTGAACACCTTGGCTGTTTCTCAATGTGCGTTCTTCAGCGGTCTTGCGTCCTCGTGTAACGTCATCATCAGCTGCCTAAGTTCAGTTCCAATACTCAAGACCGCAAGTACGGAGGACACGTGTAACTTCCCGGATGTGTTCTGATATCGAGGACGCACTGATGCAGACTTGATCACCGAACTCGCTCTGGAAGTCCCAGAAGTCATTGCGACTGGTGGTGGGACGCGCAGCATTTTATTTAGATTTATTCCAAGATTTATTATTAAGTTCAGAGATATCATTTATTTACCTCAGGAGTTTCCCTAAATGAAACGGTGAAAGTAAACATTACCATGGACATCTTAATAAAGGAATAAACACATTTAGAATGTTTTGTTTGCTGAAATTTGTATTAAAATCAGTTTTATTTATATTGTGCAGAGTATATTTATGTTTTTATGCACAGTATATATTTTGAAAAGGGGAAAAACTATAAATCGTTGTATGAATGCTGCACTGTTTAAATAATTTACCATTTAAAACGTGTGAAGGTCTTGTGACCATCAGGAAGAACGCAGCATCTCATTGCTCAGAGGAAGCGTTCTCTGCCCTCGCAGACTCCTGAGTTCGTTCTTCCGAGGACACCTGGCAAGACCAGTCTCCACAAGAACACAAGTCCGTTCTCTGTGTTCTTGGAATTGAGAAACAGCCCTTGATTAGTTCAATCAGGTGTGTTTGATTAGAGTTGGAGCAAAACTGTGCAGAGCTGCGGGCCTCTGGGAATATTTGAACCCTATTAATGGTCATTTAATGGAGCAACTTACTTTAATTTCAACATGATATGACATGTCCATGTGTTTTCCTGCTTTCCAGATTCTTATTTACTCTTACTCGAGTAACTTTTAAGATTTTACTTTTACTGGAGTTAAAACTTCCTCAAGTACTTGTTCTTTAATTTGAGTATATATTTGGTATAACCAAAATGTAAGTCTGTATGTGAGAAAAATGTAATGTGAAGAAAATGTAAACGTAATAAAACATATCTGGCTAGAGAAATTCTAGACACTAGAGCATTCTAGTGTGTGTGGACTAATCCTGGAACAAAAAGTATATGCTTCAGGTTTATTTGAAATATTTGTAATGTGATCTTAAGGTGTTTCTTTGCATACATCTGTCATTTAGGAGGACGCTTTTTCTGTACAGATGATCACAGGTTTACAGCCAATGTACTTTCCATTTCTACTGCACATGGACCGTTTTTTTTTTTTTTGTTTGTTTGTTTTTTTTTACAAAGTTTGTTATTGAGACAATTGCAATAATCAGACAATTAAAAGTATTAGAGCTAAAGGAAACACAGAAGAGAAATGCCACTTTTATGGTTTCACATTGGTTAAATCTTGAATCTTGTCTTTTATACTACATTAAAACAGCAAAGTTAAAACTGTACTGTAAAGTGTTGTCAACTAAAGTCCAAACAACGTTTACTGAGTGAAAATGTTGCAAAAGAAAAATGGCAAAACTGAACGTCACTTTAATCATGGAACTGATTTATTTTTCCTCATTCACCTTTTGAATCTTTATGCACGTATATTAATTGCCTGAATCAATTAACATAATGTTTTTACAAAACAATCTATCTTAGCTAATTACATTTTGTCAAACTTAAAGATAATGAAAATCATGACACAGAACAACAGACCAACAATAATAATGTTTTGGCATGTTTTTATTATTTATTTTTACTATAGTACATCCTAATAAATAAATTCAAAATCACATAATGTGTCAAATAGGCGAGGCAGTGGCGCAGTAGGTAGTGCTGTCGCCTCACAGCAAGAAGGTCGCTGGTTCGATCCTCGGCTCAGTTGGCGTTTCTGTGTGGAGTTTGCATGTTCTCCTTGCGTTCACGTGTGTTTCCTCCGGGTGCTCCGGTTTCCCCCACAGTCCACAAGACTTGCGGTACAGGTGAATTGAGTAGGCTAAATTGTCCGTAGTGTATGAGTGTGTGTGTCTGTGGATGTTTCCCAGAGATGGGTTGCGGCTGGAAGGGCATCCGCTGCGTAAAAACTTGCTGGATAAGTTAGCGGTTCATTCCGCTGTGGTGACCCCAGATTAATAAAGGGACTGAGCCGACAAGAAAATGAATGAATGAATAATGTATAAAATCAGTGTAAAATATTGTCAAGTAAATTTCTGTGCCTCATAAAACAATATTTATGAAATTCAGAAATATCACAGCCAGTTCCACATCTACTAAATGTACCTAAATGTTGCACTTTCTGTGTCAGTAAACTAGGACAGGGTCAAGACACTCATCAGAGGAATGAATAACAGCACCAGAGAAGCACACAGACAAGAAGCCTCAGAAACCGTCACTTGGTCTGGGAGAAACTGAACATCTGTGAACAGAGAATAGAATGATAAGATGAACTTATTTACCACTAAATCAAACGTCTAGAGTCTGTTTGAGAAGACTGAAATCTGTGTGGTAAATCAGTAAGCTTTGACATCAGAATATAACAGTATTGCACTATTATCAATATTTTACTTTAAACATTGACACTGATTACCTTATTTGTTTTATGTCATTGTTGGGGCAAAAATAGCTTCAATGTAATAAGCTCAGTTCAGATAGTTGCTTTATAGAAAGATGGTTTACCAGTAGCTTAAGGTGCTTTCACACTTGGTTCAATGGCCTGGAGCAAACCCAAGTTCGATCGTCCCCCCCTTGCCACCTTTTAGTCTGGTTTGTCTTCACATTGTCTTTTTTTGCTTCTGAACCCCGGGACACTTGCGTCATGTAGCTGCTGTTTTGTGTACGGCGATTACTAGGTGGCGGCGACAACAGAAAATCGCCAAAATGGAGACGTGCGCATATCACTGTCATTCTACCATTCTACCATTGTTACCAAAACCAAAAACAGAGTCACTTGCATCTATCTGCTGCAAAACATTAAAAACATTCAGAACATCACGCACGGGATATCTGTAGTAGCTGGTTTTGGTGAAGACAAGCAGACATTATCACTGTCTGTACTGGGTCAGTCCCACTTGTCACCAACGTAGGTGATACAGACACACACCCAAATGAACGTTGTGAAAGCTGAAGTTTGTTGTACAGTTGGTGGTTCACTTCCATTATTTGCTACGATTGCATTCATACCAGAAGTGAACCGGACCAGAGTTTGCACGAACCACATACAGTTCAAGGATGCACGAAGTTCAGAAGACACGTTCAAATTAGCTAAATGTACCATACTTTGACATCAAACAAACCTGGGTGCAGACCAAAAGTGCCAGTGTGAAAGCACCTTAAGCTACTCATCAGTTATTCAGCTCTAGTTTCAGAACCGCTTCCCCAACACTGCATTCAGACATATGAAATGCTGACCTGTGTTTCCTCCAGACCACACCAGAGGACCCATAGATAGTGACGCACTGTCATGGAGATCCAGAGCCCTGCGCTCTCTCCGCTGCTCTCCAGAGTCACAGCTCTAGAAGAGAAAAGAGTCAAATCCAGCTGTGCAAATCCCTGATAAACATCACTGAACAAACACAAAACCAACAGGAGTGCACAAAATCCCCAGCAGAGGGCAGAACAAACATGTTTAACAGCCTTCATCATTAAACCTCAACACCATCATATCTCCCTGTCTGTGTTTAGTGCTGAAACATCAGTGGGAGATTCTGAAGACTTTTTAAACTCACCGTTGAGCATTGTTCACTGGACAGAAGGCAAAGGTGAACAGCACAGTGCAGGTAAAGCTTAGTGGAGTTTGCAGTGAAGATGAACATCCTGAAGGAGAAACGGCTGCTTGTGGAGACGCCGTTCTGCAGCAGCTTCACTGTGTCGTCCTCAGGATTGGGACACCTGACGAGATCAACAACCACAATCAACAAACCAAATTATTTCATTAAACGCATTCAACTCAGAAGTGATTTCCAGTTAATCATTTCACAAAAACTGGAATGTTGAATGTCTAAAACACTGAAAAAAATACAAATCTCAGAGGATTCCTAAAGTAACATGGATGATTATTTATTCAAAAGTAGATTTTTAAAATGTTGTGAGTTAACACTGATGTTTAATGAAGAGAGGAGTCTTTACCCTTCAGTGATGAGGTCCCAGCGGAGACTGTAATCAGGGTCATTCTCAGGTGTAGCCCAACACGTGTCCATCACCAGGGCAAACTGGCGGCTGTCGACCCCCTCAACACCAACCTCCACATGCATCTCCTGGTCCAGCTCTGCATCCACTCTACCAGTGAAGGGCTGAGTGAACTCTTCATCCACATACGGGACCATCCGCACCTGATAAACCCCTTCACCAGAGGGGAGGACCTTGTGCACGGTGCTGTTTAATTCAGAGATACATAAGATACAACTAGTTTATGCTTAAGACATACATTGAACAACTAAAATGCGTGAACTTGTCTAAAAAAGCAGTCAAACTGAAAGCAGAATGAGTGTGTTGTAGCACCTCTGCAGTGGGTTGATCTCCACGTTCATGGAAAGTGTTTGTGTTTGAGGATAAACACAGCTGAAAGAAAGCTTCAGGATTCTCACTCTGCTGATGAGACCTTCTGTTCCCGGCGTCCCCACAATATAGTTACTGTAGATGAAGTGGCTGCCGTTGGCCTGCAGACAACAAATAAGACATATTTTTATTTATTATTTAGCTTGAATTGTGATTTTATTTTTCAAGGAATAACAGCAGTTGTCAAGTGAAGTAATGATGTGTTATATATTATTGGTAGAGAATGTGGGCAAAAGTGCCAGTGTGTTCGGTAGCATGTTGTTCTCCACTATACATTACTGATTAAAAGACTTTGAGAAGTTTTTAGGCAAGTCTGTTTGTACGGTTTCTGTTATTTGGCTAATTTTTACAACCTTTATTGACCTGCCTGGAGACTAAACAGATAGGCAGGGTTGTTAAAAATAGTTTTTTTTTTCCTGTCAATATTGTTTTGATGGTGTGGATTCTTAGTCTTAGTAAATAATGAACATCTGAAGTGGTAATGTAGCTAAAATGTGAAGTCCCAGTTTGATGACCTGTTGTCCCAAGTCCGATTTCCCTTCAGCACACCAACTGCAGTTGCTACATCGTAATCACACCCCTATTAGAGCAAGGTCCTGATTGGTTAATGTGGCGCAAATGTCTACCAAAGTTCAGATCTTTCAACTTTTCAAGCGGTTTGCATAAATTACATGTCATTTGGTCGATTCGTGTCATTTGCATGGATTCATTTGTGCGAACCGCACCCCAGGATGTCTAATTGCATCTTTGCTTTGACTTAACATGTAAATCTCCCGCACTTGATGCTTCATCCGTATCTGGTGTAAACGCACATTTAGAATGTTCATCAGCCAATCAGACTCAAGCATTCAGCAGGCCAGTAGTATGAAATCAGATTTAACACACAGGTAGTTGATCATACCACAAGATTTGTGCCGCAGATGTGTTGATTGTTGTCGAAGTTAAACTCCACTCTGCCGTTCTGGACGGTTCCTCTGCAGCTGGGGTCATTGAGGTGTAAGTGCTCAGCTGAAAAACCAGCTTCAAAAAGCTGACAGCGAGACACAGACATGGAGCCAGAGCTGCTCTCACAGGTCTCATTGAAATCTGAGAGAAAAACATGATCATTAATGACACAAAAACACCTTTTATTTCACATTTGACTGCAGAATCACACACTAACCAAAGGAGTCTTGAGCTGCTCGCTGTTTTTGGTGGCCTTTGTTACATAAACAGCCATAAACACCATTTTTCATCCCACATCTTTCCTCTTTGGAGCAGTTGAGTTCAGAACAGGGGTTTCTGTCATCTAGATGGACAAGTTAGTAATGTTCATTATTACAAGGTTTTCTAGCTGACCATTGGGCCACAAAAATAAAACCCACACCTTAATATTTAGTATATTTAATGTAATAAATAGCACTTTTGTAAAGCTGTTTGGAACTTATTGTGAAAAGCGCAATACAAATATACTTGACAAAAATTTAGTTAAACTATCTTGTTTTTTTACTGTACTTTTACTACGTTTAAATGCCTTCTAAACACCTCACATATAACAGTATTAGCAAATCAGCTTCATAGCACAATCTTTGCCTAAAATTAAACACAAACTTGCAGTCTGTTTCCTATATCTAGTGCAATCCCTAACATTTATTTTTCAATACATAACGTTACTACTAAGCCCATAAACATACACACATCACCTCTTTTTTATTACTAATGTAATCATTTGAAAAATAGCAACAAATTCTGACACTCAAAGCACTTTAATCTGAACAATAATCCTGCAGATTGTAATACAGAACATTACATTACCAGATATTGTAGTTGTAGTTTCTGTTGTGGTCGTCTCTGGTGTGTCAGTTGTATAGCTAGTGTTAAACCTCACATCTAGAAACACAAATAAATGTCAGACAGAAAGCCATCATCTCTAACATAAACAGAAGGCAGAGTTAAATGTGTGTCCAGTACCTGCACAGTATGCTAAATTGCAGGTGGTCGGCCTCACAAACTCATAGACATAAAAACCTCCAGGACAGGCTTTGACTTGAATGGGATTGGACTGGAAATAGCAGCAGTTGTTGCTCCAGTGTCCGCAGACATCTCTAGTGACCACTCCATCCTCAAGTGTTGGATGTCCTCCGCTCAGCCACAGTGGAGCATGAGTGCCGCAGCTATTCTCATCAACACATGTGTCTGGCATCTGAACACTCTGACCATTAATGAAGAGACGGTACCAGCCGCTCCAGCTCACCGCTCTGTCACACATTAACTGAGAGGAGTTTTGATTGCTGGTGGCTCTCCATGGGTCATCCAGGATGAAGTAGTTATTGCAGGGGTCAACAGGGGGAGCTGTTGGAAGCAATTTTATTATTAGTTATGGTAGTTTTTCTGTTAATAATCTCATGATGGAGCATTAAACAGGCAGGATTAAATTTTATTCTCACTGATTTGGACAGCAGACAGATTACACTGTAGAGTTGACAGAGCGATGTCATTAAAGGGTCGTGCAGTCTTATATTTGAACAGATTTGTTTTTGTTGAACATCTGTTAAGGCGATGTTAGCATCTGTTAGCTTTAGTTGTTAGCGAACAAATGGCTAATATCTTTTTTTAATTTCATCATTATATCTGGGCAGCATTATTGGTGGTGATGTAGCAAAGGACTGCAGCTTTTTAATGAAGCTGCTTCTGAATTATTTAATGAAGCTGTGAGACCTTGCAGTAGTTAGTCTTTCATGATGGGTCATAGTCATGGCAGTGTTGTCAACTTCTACGAATCTGTATTGACATTTTAAAAAGGGACGATAGGAAGATTTTCCGCATTTAAAGCCTTGCCAGGTAGACTCTTAAACACTGCTGATTGATTACGAGCTCAACAGATATGACTGTAATTGACTCGAATGACCAACAATTTACAAGAGCATTTACACAGACACTGGAATGTTGTAAAGCTATAATCAGCTGATTCGTAATTGAAACAGCATTCAAACATTGACGTATATGACCTTTCAAAGTATGTGCGTCTGTCTAAATTTAGAAATTGGCACTCTGTAAATATTAAATTCCTTAAATGTTGCTTGTAAATTTTGGTCATCAGTATAGGACACTGACAGATGATGGTTGACGGCTCTCCTACATTCTGCTCACAGATTTTCATGTTCATTTAAATTGCATGGTTTGTTTGTTTTTTTTTTTTTTTATTCTGAGGTAGACTTGAACCGAAAGAGGAGGGTTTCATGACCCTTTAAGTAAATTGTAATAATTTAATGTATAAGTTTTTAAACTATAATAATATTATAATATTTATTGCATTACTCATTCTGTGAGCTGTAGTGCTACAGTTTTTAATATTTTCTGGAGAATTTAATAATTGCTATGACTTTTCCTACACTAGGGCGTCAGAGTGGCACTGTTTGCATGTTCTCCCCGTGTTGGCGTGGGTTTTCTCCAGCCTGATCTCACGAGAAAATTTGGGTATTTTACGTTTTGCTAGTTTAGTGGCAAATTCGTCTGAATGAGTTCAGTCGTATGAAACTGTACGATTTTAAAGAGGAGGCGTAGCACCTAACCTAACCCCACCCCTAAACCCAACCGTCATTGGGGGATGAGCAGATCGTACTAAATATTACGAATTAGATCATACAAATTCTTACGAATTAGCCACTACATGAAAAAGTTACAAATTGCCATGAGATTGTGTTGGTCTCTCCGGGTGCTCCGCTTTCCCCCACTGTGCAAACACATGCGCTATAGGGAAAATGATGAACTAAATTGGCTGTAGTGTATGTATGTGAATGTAAGAGTGTATGGATGTTACCCAGTATTGGGTTGCGACTGGAAGGGCGTCCGTTACGTAAAACATATGCTGGATAAGTTGGCGGTTCAACAATACAGATTTCTTGCAGTTCAGTTTTAGGGTCACGGTTTTGGTATGGTTCGATGGCTATATGATATGTTCAGTAAAATAAAATAATAATAATAATAATAATAATGATAATGAAAAAGTTTATTCTAAAATGAGCAGTGCTTTTCAGGATTTTCAGGTATCTAATAGAGACATAAGCTTAAAAATTTAATCCAATATCACACTGCAAACTGCATATAATCTTCACTGTATAAATTAAAGGTTAAGAATTTTTGAGCTATGTGACGATTGAGTCAAGAGCGGAGTTTGTGATTTCATTATATTTTGTGGCAAAGACTCTTGAATACACAAGACATGTCACTCATATCTTCTTAAATGGGGAAAAGTGTAACAGTCAATATGGTCAATAAAGCCCCGCCTATAAGTACAGGAGCCAACTACTGATTGCTTTATGGCACATAAAGCCCGCCTTCTAGTACGGGAGCCAATCATCTATTGCTACAGACTGACTATAATCCAGGGGAGGGGCTTGAACCAGAGGTGAGTTTCTGCACACTTTGGACTTTAAGAAATTAAACTAAAGGGAAAGTTGTTGTTTAAATCTATTGGTGATTCCAAATATGTAATGTAATCATAAGCTTGGCAAGCAGTTTTGGAGAACTTGATGTTTCCAATTTGATGTTGCATACTTCCTGAGAGGCGTTTTAAAGATGGCCGCCGAGTGAAATAACTTGCCTTAAAGGGACTTTGGTTGTGGTTTGTTTCATTTTAAAAACAAACACAGCAGGAATGAGATGTTTTTACTTTAAGACGCAGCACAATGAGAAGGTTAAAAGCAGCACAATTTCCTGAGTGTTTATGTTTTTAGGCTTAACTGATTTAAAACTTGGACAGGTGGACATAATTACTGGTTATAAATGAGTCTTACCATTGAGAAGCTAAACTCAATTTGTGTGGAGTAACTTTCATTCAGCTGTTTAGATATGAACACTACTCAGCTCTCCCACGTGACTTGAATGTGTGCTCATGCTCTGGCATGCAGCTCACGGCACTTTCATTTTCGTGTGAAAGTGTCTCCCTACTTTAGTGCTCATTAATGAGACATTTACTCAGGTAAGTCTAGCATCCACTGAGCCAGTTCAGAGACTCTTTAAAGGATTGGGCAAAATGCAAAATAAAATTGTTTAATTTAAAGGCGGGCGAGGCAGTGGCACAGTAGGTAGTGCTGTCGCCTCACACCAAGAAGGTCGCTGGTTCGAACCTCGTCTCAGTTGGTGTTTCTGTGTGGAGTTTGCATGTTCTCCCTGCCTTCGTGTGGGTTTCCTCCGGGTGCTCTGGTTTCCCCCACAGTCCAAAGACATGCGGTACAGGTGAATTGGGTAGGCTAGTGTGTGTGTGTGGATGTTTCCCAGAGATGGGTTGCGGCTGGAAGGGCATCTGCTGCGTAAAAACTTGCTTGATAAGTTGGCGGTTCATTCCGCTGTGGTGACCCCGGATTAATAAAAGGATTAAGCCGACAAGAAAATGAATGAAAGAATAATTTAAAGGCAAAACCACAAAAAAAAAAAAAACTTTCCATATGTATACTGAACCATGGAGGTCATAACAACTATTATTTGGAGTATTGTAGCAATCCATATTCTACACCATTATGTAATAAGAAAGAAAGATTTACCAGTGGTTGGTGGATTAATGAACTCTTCAGATGTGATTGGCTGGGTTGTTGTCACTGCTGTGCTGGACTGGTTTGTAGCTTTTGGTTTAAAGAACAATTTTATGTCATTATAAGATATTTTCAAACAAAATCCAGAAAAATACAAGACCAAAGTGCACATGAGTAAATACTCACCAACACAGTAAGCTGAGTGAGTTCTTGGCTGTACAAACTCATACACATAATAATCTCCAGGACAGGCTTTGACTCTTATAGGGTGGGATGTGAAAGTACAGCAGCCATTCCATGCAGAAACACAGACCTGACGGAGGACCACTCCATCTTCCAGCTCTGGGTGAGATCCATTGAGCCACAGTGGATAATAAGTGCCACACATGCCTTCATTTACACATGAATCTGGCATCTGAGCACTCTGATTGTTGTAGAACAGCCTGTACCAGCCATTCCATGCTACACTCCAATCAAAATGATTGCCATAGTAGTTAGCAGGGTTATCAGTGGATCTCCAAGGTTCATCCAGACTGGTATAGTTGTAGCAGGGGTCGACACTTGGGGTGGTGAAAGACACTATTATAGAAAAAGAAAACAAGCAGGAAATACTGAAGATTGCATTTGTAAATAAAAATAATGGATAAAGTTTATAAGGTCTGTATAGTCCAAACAATACTCTGACAAAGTATGTCAGACACTGCGTAAAGAAAAATATACCTGCACAGTATCTTGGAGCTTGGATTGAAATAGGAGGCCTGGTAAACTTGTAGACATAATAATCTCCAGCACAAGCTTTGACTTGGATTGGGTTGGATCTGTAGCGACTGCACAGATTATCACGGGAGCCGTAAACTTCACGAGTAACAACTCCATCTTCTAGTCGAGGATGAGATCCATGAAGCCACAGAGCAGTAACACCTCCACATGTCATATAAGAGGCACACCAGTCCGGCATCTGAGCACTCAATCCATTCATGAGGAGTCTGTACCAGCCGTCCCATTCATAATTGTTATCAAATCCATTTACATCGTTATACACAGGCCAGTAAGTATATGTGCTCCTCCAGTCGTTGTCAAGTGTGTTGTAGTTATTGCACGGGTCATAATCTGTGTTAGTGAGAGATCATCAGATCAAACCTGGGGCTTTTATTTACATAATTGTGTGTGCGCACTACTTACTGGAGGTGATAGTAGATCCAGGTATTATATCAGGACTTGCAGTGGAAACCACCTGTGAGATAGTGCTGACATCTGATTTAATAAAAAAAATTAACAAATAATCGTTACTGTTAATATATAATCATTACTAAAATCCTTCTAAATGCTTGAAGGACATGTGGAAGAAAGAACAGTACCTATGCAATATCCTGAACACCCCATTTGTGGACGCACAAGTTCATAGACATAATAATTTCCTGGACATGCTTTCACTCTGATGGGGATTGACTTGCTATCACAGCAGCCGCTCCAGTAAGAACTACCACAGACCTCTCTGATCACCACTCCATCCTCAATCTGAGGGTGAGAACCATCGAGTACCAGATTTGTGTATGTGTTACAGTTTAATCCAGTAGTACAGGTCTCTGGCATCCGGATGTCCATTCCATAGTAGAAAAGCCTGTACCAGCCCCTCCAGGTGAAAGAATCATCACACAGGGAATCTCCACTTTCATTGTTGGCTCTCCAGGGGCGATCCAGAGGCTCATAGTTGTAGCAGGGGTCACTGCTGATGCTTGGGATAACAACTGTCATGGAGTTTAAAAAAATAATGATTAAATGTACACACTTGGACGACAGCAGACTCAAAACACAATAATGTGTATTTTTTATTATGCTGAGTGGTTAAATTGTTATCAGTGGTGGCAAAAGGGGGCAAGTATGAGTTTGCACATTCACATTAAAGCCTAATAAAATGAAGTAACATCTCTCGATAAAATAAACTACTGTAAGTGCTCTCCATCATCAAGCATGTTAAGGTAAACAATTCATTTTAAATCCAAAAGCACTGTGTGATGATAATTAAGCATGGTCATATACAGACAGTGTGCATAAACTGTTAAAAAGTTTAAAGTTGTGAGTGTTAAGTAAATGCTGTATAGGTCTGTGGGGACCTCTGCTGAATTATTAATGGTTTACAGACATCAACAAAAGTTTTGAAAGTTGAGAAGTGCACCTGCACAGTATGAAGGTTTGGGGATCGACAGATCTGGCTTGACGAGTTCATAGACGTAATAATCTCCTGGACAGGCTTTGACTCGGATGGATGAGGATCTGTATTTTCCACACTGATTGGACCACATATTCCTTCCCACAACATCACGGGTCACCACTCCATCCTCAAGTGTTGGATGAGAACCGTTGAGATACAGTCCAGTGTAACCACCACAGCCCATTGAACTCATACACCACTCAGACATCTGGGCACTTTGTCCAGTCAGATACAGCCGATACCAGCCGCTCCATTCAACCATAGTGTCATCATGGTCAAGGTAGTACTTTATTCGTATGTTTCGCCAGTATTCATCCAGAGTGGTATATTGATGACATGGATCAAAGCTGGAAGTAGTATGCACTGAGACAATCAAGACAAAAAAAAAGTGAATGTTAAACAGTGTTTTACTAAACACCTCTGTATGATAGAGTGTGATGTACTCTACAGTCTTGCAGTGGTGTAAAGTAATAAGTTGCAAATACTGTATACATAAAATACAACACATATATCTCAGCAGGGTCCATCATGTGTTTGGGTCCCCTAAAAACATTTCCGTTGTGTTACGTGCATAATTGCAAGTGTTGTGACCAATTTGCTGTGAGTTTCTTCAGTTGTTTGCTGTCAAATTGATGAAGATTGTTTCTTTATTTGCTGGTGTTTTTTGTAATTGCATGTGCTTTCTGAAATTGCAGCGCAGGTTAAGCTCTCTCGGCCACCGTAAATAAGACATTGTTAGATTAGATTAGATTATTAGATTCAACTTTATTCTCATTGAAGCGCAGTGTTTGTTTTGTCCACAAGATATCGCTGTGACACTGTTTCATTTAGGTATTTTGACGTTTTTTGTGTTGTTTGAGCCTCTTGGCATACCGTAGTGTTGATAAATGCGCAGTGCGCTGTAATTTCCTCAGTTTGTGTTATCAACACTGATAGGTGCCCTTCTGACAAATAAATGGTCGAGTCACGATCGCGAACCTCTCTTTGCCTGCATCTCCTGTTTACCACCCCACAACCAATACAACACAACGCAGAGTAGCAGCGGTGGTGCTAGAGGCCAGCAAGCACGCAGAGAGCGAGTGGGTTACATCATTACACATGTACAAGTACAATGCAACGAAATGCAGTTTAGGTCTAACCAGCAGTGCAACAGCAGCAAGTGCAGGATACAGGTATCAGTTATAAAGTGCAGTTATAGAAAAACTATGGTGATCTTTACAGATGGTTGTACTATCAACATTATATACAGGTTGTATTGGCTATGAACAGGTTTACACAACCCGGGCTCATTGTGGAAACGTAGCCCCGCGGACGTTTCTGCGAACCGCGATTTACGTCCCGGGAGGTACGTATTTGAGCGTTTTTTTGTTTTCGCGGATCCGCGAGAGGCAGCTGTGCGCGCTTTTTCGCGTCTCGGGCGGGCGGGAGTGCACGGCTGTCGCGCCCGCGCCATTCTCGCGCGAAAAGCCGCCGGATCGAAAAAAAAAAAAAAAGCAAAAGCCCTCGTCTTCGATTTCGACCGCGTTTTCGGATCCCGCCGCGTTCTCGCCCTTATTTTTCGGATTCCGTTTTACGTCTCACCTGATTTCCGGAACCTGCTGTTCCCCGGACTCCTCCTCCTCGTCCGGGGCCTCCGCTCCGCCGACGCAACGCTGTGAGCTAGGCGGACAAACTGATTGCGTCGGGAAAGCCCTCCACTTGGAGGTGAGCCGTCAGCCGGCGAGCGCGAAGAGTAGGGGCGGATCGGCGCCACACTGCCCCGCAGCGTTCTCTCGAAAAAAAACAAACGCGGCCTTTACGTACCTCCGGCCACGTAAATCGCGATCTCCAGAAACGTCCGTGGGGCTACGTTTCCAGAATGAGCTTGGGTTGGATTTACAATATATGAAAATATGTACATGTTGCTATTAATAATCAGAATTGTGCAGATAGATAACCATAGTTACAAATGTATATGTGCAGTGAGTGTGTACATAAATACAAATGTCCATGTGCAGTGGGTATGTACTGTTCAAATAAGTGAATCAGTGCAATGTGGTGCAATGAATATGTGCAATTTTTAAATATGCAAATGTTAAACAGTGCAGTGATTGTAAGGAGTATAGGTTAGAGAAGGTTGGGGGATGTATTGGGGGATGTTGGAAACTGGGAACCACTGACATACATAGTAAAAACAAATACTACTGAACTCAAAGGCTGGCAGTTTCCAGCATTCGTTATAGAGTATTTATTTGTGTGTTTAACAGAAGAAAACTCACAGGCTTAGAATGGGTAATTGAGCAGAATGTGCAGCTTTGGGTAAACTTTCCAATGTAAATAATTATTAAGTGGAAAAAATTGCCTTTAAAACCATGTTTTATGTTGATTTGAAAGCATTGTTGCATACACTGCATGCTACTGTAAATAACAATGTCATTTTCTGCCCGTCTACTATCATTATTTCTGGTCTTTTTTTGTCTGTAAAGCAAGTGTTACCGCTGTCAATCATAGATCATTACTGCTGTCAATCATAGATCACGCCATCTGTGACTCCGCCCACTTCACAGGTTGTGAAATTAACTCAATGTTCACACGCATTTATACTTCTGCATTCTTCAGGTTTCAGACAGAACATGTCTTGCATACCATATCTCTTTAAAGCAGGGGTGGGCAAACTCGGTCCTGGAGGGCCGGTGTCCTGCATAGTTTAGCTCCAACTCTAATCAAACACACCTGCTTATAGATTTCTAGTAATCTTGAAGACAGTGGCTGCGTCCTAAACTGCATACTTCCATACTATATAGTACACTAAAATCAGTATGCGAGCTGAGTAGTATGTCCGACTTCAAAGAATTATAAAATCAGTTTGCGAGAAGTATCCGAATGACATACTACTTCCGGCGAGATTCTGAAGTGCGCATTACATGCACGCTACGCTATCCCATAATGCCCTACAAGAGAATTTATGAATGGGACTGAACTGACACAAGTAGGTCACATGACCATGACTAAATGGCAGATGTAGTACGTCCGAATTCCACTCATACTTTTAACATTCGTACTGTATAGAAATATTTTATTAATGGCCGATTAGTACGTTTAAATCCAAATGCAGTACCCACTTAGTAGGCAGTTTCGGTGGCAGCCACTGATTAGCTTGTTCAGGTGTGTTTGATTAGTGTTGGAGCTAAACTATGCAGGACACCGGCCCTCCAGGACCGAGTTTGCCCACCCCAGCTTTAAAGTCTTCAGTAAAAAGTGCAGTTATTTACTAACAGTAAGTACCAGTCATTATATATACATTTTTAAACTACAAAAAAGCATTATGCTTTAAATGAAATTCTTTGGTTTATATTGCAGCAATGCTTTTGCTGCTAATGAGGCCAACATGCATAACCATTTGAACATTCAAAGTACTGAAAATTGAGATCGACAAAACCACAATGGAAGTCAATGTCAACTGGCTTCCTAGGTCATTCATTCATTCACTTTCATTCAGCTTCATCTCTATTTTCAGAGGTCGCCACAGCGGAATGAACCACCAACTTTTCTACATACCAATGTTTGTTTTTTGCAGTGGATGCCCTTCCAGATGCAACCCAGTACTGGGAAACACCCATACACACATTCACACAGACACACACACACACACACACTCTACACACTTTCATACAATACAATTTAGTAAATCAATTCCCCTATAGTGCATGTGTTTGGACTGTGGGAGAAACCGGAGCAACCATCTTGCTGTAGGGCGACAGTGCTAGCCACTGAGCCACCATGTCGCCCTACTTTTTTTTATTAGGGGGTCAAGCGCGAAGCGCTGAAACCCTATTGTTTTTGTTAAAATTTTTATTATTATTAGGGGGTCAAGCGCGAAGCGCTGAAACCCTATTGTATTTGTAAGGATTTTTAGGGGGTCAAGCGCGAAGCGCTGAAACCCTATTGTTTTTGTTAAGATTTTTATTATTATTATTATTAGGGGGTCAAGCGCGAAGCGCTGAAACCCTATTGTTTTTGTTAAGATTTTTATTATTATTATTATTATTATTATTCTGCCGAAGTCACTATTGCCCAGACCAAACCGTAAGGCCGAGAGAGCTGAAACTTGGCCAGATGGTAGTACCCCGGTACACTACGTTCTGGCCAAAGATCAGCCAAATCAGACCATAGGTGGCGCTATGGCGCCAAAAAAACACTTTTTGGACATTTTTGGCCGCTTATCGTTCACCGTTTGTCGTAGACTCAAAAACTTTACATTTTTTGAATCCTTGGGTTAACCTGAACAAAAGTGTATAGCAGAAATTTTTGCTCTACGACGCACCGTTTTCCCGCTACATCACGATTTATCCGAAACCTACTTTTGCGAACTAGTCCTAGGTTTTTCACTCAATCTAAACCAAACCAGCTCTCAAATGTTCTCTGGACACTGAATATCAATAATTATCAAAAAAAAGTTGACATTTTTATTCTCACTCGAAACAGTGCACAACAATGTTCGATGCTAATTGAAGCTAAATGCTAATTGGAGCTATAACTTTTGAACGGAATGAGATATCATCACCAAACTTGGTACACACATGCATAAGCTCAATTTGATGTGACAGTGCAAAAACAGCGGACTTTTGCCACATGGTGGCGCTATAAAGCTTAAAAACCATAAAATTACCCTAACCTTACAACCGTTAGTCCGATCAGCTTGAAATTTGGCATGCAGTGTCTTTGACCAGTTTGCCATGACATATTATAAGGACAATGACACATCTCAAAAAACATGGCCGCCATTAGCCAATTAAAATTGTGCAGCCATTTAGCAAGGTTAACGATGAGCGATCGGAATGAAACTCGCTGGGTATGTTCGACTTATGGACCTAGAGGACTGTAAGAATTTTGAAAGAAATCGGCCACTAGGAGGCGATTTTACGCAATTTTAAGGTGTAATGGGTTGTGTATCACACAACCTTTTGCAAAACCACACAAAATACATATCATATGATAGGCCTGATCATACCGAACAGTTTGACACTAAAACCACTGCTGTCAGTCACATCGTTCGTTAAATATGCATCAATATAGGAAAAACCTACTTTTGCGAACTAGTCCCTGGTTTTTCACTCAATCGCAACGAAACGAGTGTTGTTAGAATCTCTGGACTGTGTAGATCAATAATTATCAAAAAAAAGTTGAACTTTTCTCCTTGGCTAGCTCTAACAGGCTAATTTACAAAAGGGGCGTGTCCACACGAACCTACATGCCTGTAAACCAATAAGGAAAACTCATAACATCACAGAAATTGGTGAGCACATGTGCCATATCAATGAGAAGAAACTTGCAAAATTTTGTGAAGATCAAACCATAGGTGGCGCTATAATAGCAAAAATAGT